AGAAGAAAATGATAGCGTGCCGTGAGGCAGCTGGTTTATATATAAAGGCGCAGGGGCTAATCTGACTATGTGGCGCGAAAAGGAAATGATCCACTGCGAGTCGGTCCACGATTAAATTCGGAAACTACTTTAGATTAACGGGGTAGGAGCACGAGCCAGTCACGTGGCTTTCGGCTAATGGGGCTTGAATTTTATTTACTGGGATTTGGCCCATTTGAGCAAGGTCTTCACAAAGGAGTCCAAATGGAAACCATTTGGTTAGTCCGGTGGGCCTGCTCTAAAAGGCCGTCACGCCACTGAACAAAAATACTCATGTTGGTACTAATTTGATCGCGACTAATAGAATAGTGACACGTAGCATAACAAATAGGGATTCAAAATTAAATCCTAACAAAATAGACATATATATAGTAGATTTTGTCAAATAAAATTTCGATCCGATCTGGCCCACTTCAGATGCCAACTAGGACCTCAAATAAGGAGCAGGTCCTCAAAATACCGACCTGGAGTGTTGTTTACCAAATTCGGGGTGTTGTCCATCCAACCTGTAGTACTGTCTAGTTGACTAAGACCTCAAATAAGGAGTAAGTCCTCAAACTACCGACTTGTGTTGTTATTCGCCCGACCTAGGGTACTGTCCAGCTGAATAGAACCTCAAATAAGGAGCATGTATTCGGATGTCGACCTGGCTCCTCAGGTGCAGACCTGGTCACTCAGATATCGACCTGGCCCTCAGATGCAAACATGGTCCCCCAGATGCCGACTTGGCCCTCAGATGCTGACATAGTCCCTCAGGTGCAGACTTGGTCTTATATATGCCAACCTAACCCTCAGATGCAAACATGCCCTTCCGATGTCAACATGGTCTTTCCTAGCCCATTTTCGAGCCGACTAGGTCCTCAATTGGATTCGAACAGAACCCAGGATGTTCAGCAGCCATGTCAATAATTGTAGACTAGACATTTACGTACTTAACAATGAATAGTAATTTGTGCTACACAAGTGGAATAGTATATATCAAAGTACTACACTATAAAAAGGTAGGACAATTCTACCCAAAAAGGGACCAATAAAAAGATAGGAGAAGAATTTTCTCCCAAAAAAATTAATAAAAATAGGCATTCATCCATTATTTGTGTTTTATTTTATTTTTCACACAAATTCAAATGGTATATTTTGGTTGTTCGAATTTTGAGGTCAACAACTCCTAATAACTTATTAATCACTCAATTGTGTTGTGTGTGAACAATGTTGAGACTTTTAATTCACACCAAATTCTTTGATTTACACCAAATACAACTATTTACATTTCATAAGTCAACTTCACAATGGTATGTGTTATATTAAACATACATAAATTAGAATATTTTATAACATACTGAAAAAATTATGACGGGATTAAACTTTATTTGTAGTCTAATATATCATTTTCCTCAATTTTGTTTTTATTTCTTTTACAATTCCTCACACAAAATAATGATTTTTTTTCACCCACACATTAAATAATTTTCTAAAAAAGAATCTTTCAATTTCATTTCTAGCAAAACCTTATGATTGTGTCTGGCAAAATCATCTACATATAGCATTCTCTTTTGCATTTGCATAATCAACATTTGTTTCAACTTGCATGAACAAAATATTTGAATGGAGGAATGTTTAATTAACATGTAGTAATTTGTGTTAATATATTCAACGTGTGTGTTTTTATTTCTAAATTTATTATGTAGCTCATGAAGACCGGTTTCTTTATTACAATCACAACTTCTTGTAGTGTAATATAATACTATCAATAATTTGTTGTTGCACACTTGTACTATACAAAGTGATAAAATAAATTCAATGTACATGGGATAACAATTAACTCCACCTTGAAAAGGCAAATATGCATTTTTTTCAACAAGATATATTATCTAATATGTACATGTGACATAACTAGCATCCAACTGCAATATGATTTTGACGTGCAGCTCAAAATCATATTAATAGTTGAAAAATCATATTAATAGCTGAAACCGATAGTTGCATGCTGCCCAAGTGAGTAGCATTAAATTAAAGAAAATGCTACAAGTACGTAATAAATGTACATAAAGGTATACATAACACTCACATGGAGTGAGGTCCACTTGATTTTTTATTTTTTGTAGGTCCCACTCAATGTGAGTGTTATGTACACCTTTATATAAAAAATTATGTACCTATATCATTTCTCTTAAATTAAACCCCAAACTTTTACTTTAACCTCATGGTAGTTGCATATGTTACTCTTTAGGGTAACATTATTCAACCATCGGGAAGTAAAGTCTCATGGATAATTAGGAAATTAAACGGGATCTAGTGTGAAAAGTTGATAATCCTCATGAAATCTAAAATTATCGTTGATGGTATAATAATAGTGCATTAATGATTCTTTTTTTAGATAGCCGAGTCAAACGATAAAGTTTGATTTTTTATATGTATGAATAAAGAGAAAATATTGTCTCTATAATAACAATAATTATAGTAATAATTTATTATAGCATTGCAAGCATCAATATGCAAATGAGAACAAAAAAAGAGACTAGACTAGCAATAGCAGAGGGGACTCATTGGACCTGATTTTGGATCAGGAGCCCGCAGAGTTGGACTGGATCATTTTATAAATTAAGATTAAAAATTAATATAAATTACACAATAAGTTGTGCTCATATTTTTAGTCAATAAAAAAATTGATGTACTTTTCAAAAATCTCCATTGGCAAATAGAAATTTTTTTTGGGTTTTTACTGGTGTATCGCCTATATGTGTGAGTGTGTGTGATCCAATAACAAAAAATCCAACAAGCATAGTACCTTCACTGGTAGGGGTTGAATTTACCATAAAATAGTATTAAAATTTTATATTTTTTAATAATAAATGTAGAAGATCGTTTTATCCATAAAACTTCTCTATTTCCTTGTTAATTACATTACTAATAACTTTATTTCTAATTTTCTATATCGGTACACCATACTCGATTGTCCTTGCGTACATAAAGAATCAGATATATGGTAGATTTCACCCTATTTGTAGGATGAACATATCTTAGATATATTCTGAACAAATTAGTTAACCATTAAGAGGTAGGATGATATGATAACTCTTTCTTGTTACTCAAAATATGACTCCATCTTTCATCTTTGTTGATCCAATAGTAAACAAACAATGCAGTCGCCAGTAGATCAAATGCTCTCAATGATAGACTGGTCATATTTTTTAGTAGTAATTGTAGACATGAGGTTGGCCAAATCCAACCTATATATACCCAAATTCTATTTTCTATTTGTATTTTACTAATCTTGTTCAAATTTTTATTTTTATGTTGATATATATATGTGTGTATAATATAAAATATTATATTTTTATTTATATTGTTTTTAAAGTAGGACATTTGAATGTCCTTACATATTTAAAAATAGTATGCCCACTTCAAAAATAGTAGTTTATCTCCTTTTCACTAAAGTATGTTCTATTATTAAATTTTATTTATATATGCAAATGGGTTTACAAAGATTATAGTAACTTTTATCAATTAAATTTACTATCCATTACTTTTACATTGCACGTAGAGTTGTTATTCAAACCTAACTATTTGCAAACACATCTTAGTTTGACTCGCGAAAACTCGAGCTCGACTTGTTCATTTACTTAATCGGGCCCAACTCCAACAGTTAATCGAGTAAACGAGCCGAACCAAGCATGTTCGCGAACAACTCAATTTTTTTTTATTTTTTATGTATTCTTAAACGAAAAATTGAGTCAAACTTACTTGCTAACGAACATTTATTATATCTCCTTTTATTTTTTAAAACGACAGATCTCATTAATAACACATAATTACAATCAGCTAACTAGCGAATGAGTGTGGCTGAATTCAGAACTTAGGCCTACCCAAAGGCAGTCTAGATCCACAACACACAAACAAACTAAAAGACTCTCACAAGTAGAGAATAAAAACTCCTAAATAGAATAATACACATTTCTAAAGAGGAGAATAAACACCACAACAAAGACACACACGTCCAACACAATACAAAACCTAAAAACACAACGAAACAACCAACAATAGCTACAATAAACCCTCCTTGACCACCAACAGTTGCTCCGAACATCTAACATGAGCCACACACCCAATCAACAACCAAGACAACAACCTGAAAAGCAAATATCGAAACTCTCTTTTCCAAAAAGGAGTTGGCTAAGTACATCCACCTAACTCCTGAGTCAAGCCCCACTTTCCTACGACTCCCAACTGAAAAAACAAGTGGAGGCACGCCTTTCAACCTTTCCCAACACTATCTCGGTCGCCTCGACACAAGACGTACAAAACCGCCAAGCCCTCGCCGACTCCCAACCCCAGGGAAGCCAAACAAGGCACAAGGGAAGGTGATGCGCCGACCCAAGCCCCATCCGCTACCAGCCACTACCAGCGGCAAACAACGTCGGCCTTTCACTCCATGCCGCTCAAACTGCGGAACAACCCTGCCACACACCATCGTTGCAAGAAGAAATGTCGCCCGAGACCGACAATTCGGGACAAGACGGAGAGAAAGGGGATGCCTTGGTGCGAGTCCAACGCGGTTGAATTGAAGCAGATGGAGATGAGGCGACAAATTGAAAGAAGCGTTTGTTTCGACCTAAGAAAATTGAGGAAAAATCGCCTAGGAGAGATGAAAAAAACAAAAACGGGATGCCTCGAACATTTAATGTTTTCAAACAACTCGTTTAGAACTATACATTTATTACATGTGTTTGAACACGAGGTACTCGACTCCGCTCACTCGCACCATAATTGTATGATTACTTGCTTTTTAACATACAACTAAAGTGGAGTTTTCCTAACACCACGAGCGGTAAATTGGGTGGAAAGTCGGCCAAGTTGAAAAAGAATCAAAACAAATATAAATAAAAAGAAAGATAAATAAAAAGTGAGATAAAAATCCGCTCTTGTCAACAGCCCACTGGAACTAACCAACCAGGCACACGGTTTTCTTCTTCTGCTCTTTTGATAGCAGACGGTATATAAAATAATATAAGAACCCCACCCTACAAACCCCACCCAGATCAACTTCCATTTTTCCATTTTTATTGAAATGTGGAAAAGGAGAAACAAAATCATATACATTTTTATCAGTCTTTTTATCCCCATGTGCAGAAACTGCTGATTAGTATACAGTTTTAGTACTCGAATCCGAGGATAAATATCATGTCAAAAGCCTGTTTATAGGCATAGAAATAGAAAAAAATTCCCTCTTTTTTTTGACAGTTCTCTTGAATTGTCCTGTTTTTTCCCTGGGTTGGGAAAAAGATTGAACCTTGACACCTTTTATCATTTTTGGGGCCCGGATCAGATTATCGTTGTAGCTGGAAATATCTGTACCGATTTGGGTTTTGTGTACTTTCCAGTTCTATCACTATCAAGAACTGATTTTTCTTTCTCAATGGGGATCGAGCAGAACAGGGGTTGTGGGAAAAATAAGATTAGTAACGAATCAAGGAAAAACAAGCGGCGACAAAGGAATTCTTCTCAGGTTCAGCGGCTGTACGAGGTTTGCAAGGAAGTTTTTGTTGATTGTGGGCCTGGAATCGTCCCGGCACCTGAAAAAGTGGAAAAACTTGCAGCTGTTTTGGGTACTGATTGATCTTTTCCTAGTTTGTGTTTATGTGAATTTGTGGGTACACTTGAAGATGGCATTTGTGTGAATGGTTTACAATTTTTTCTCTCTTTTTTTATTCAGTGTGGGATGAGTAACTTGTTTTTAGCTATTTCTCAACTTGCTATTGGCCAAAAAGTTCTCTTTTTGATTCTTATATTTGAAAGTTATGAAAATGTGGTAATATGTGTGTGTGGTCAGTGGCTAATGCTAAGCCCGAGCTATGAATTTAGCACAAGGTACAACCCCTGCAAGCAGTGCTTTTGGTGTCTGACTGAATTTATTTAAGATTCTAATTTTTGTTTGGATATCAGTGAATTTAGCTATCAGCTTTTTTGGTTCGCTCGAGTTTCTATGCCTTTCACTATATGTTTGATTCACATATGTTTGTTTTGGCCCCTCAAATTAGCATGCCGCTGCCTGTCGTTTGGTGTCTTCAAACTTTTTTATTCAATTTACATTCTGCATGCAATGCTGATAGTAATTCAAGCTGTTCTTCTGCATTTATGATTTAACTTATTCAATTTTGTAATTCATGACTTTCTCTTGTATAACAACTGGACAAAGTGAAAATTTCTTCCTTTGTCCTTTCATTTAAAATCACATTTCACTCTTTCTAATCAAATGTCTTGTTGAGTTCTGGCGAGACGAGAATAATAATGATGTTATTATTAGTACTCATTAGATATTCTTGTATGGAGAAATAAATGCAGATAAGGCACGGCATGACCATGAAATGATCCATCATGTTATTAAGTCTTTGTTTCGAATTTTCAAAAAATTTAAACCATGCAGATGGGATGACCCAAGTTGATGTGGGCCTACGGCCCGATATGCCGTTTTTCAGCAGCAAACGTGGCCGGATCATAACATACTTGCAACTCCATGAATGTGACCAATTCTCAGTATGTAACTAAAGAATTTTCCCTAATCCAAAAGGACCCTTTTTTCTTTCTTGTGACTTTATTTTGAATCTTGTAAATACTTCTGCAGATTGGAATCTTTTGTTTGCCCCCAACAAGTGTAATCCCACTTCACAATCATCCAGGGATGACCGTTTTCAGCAAGCTACTATTTGGGACCATGCACATTAAGTCTTGTGACTGGTCGAGTGAAGTTGATAGAAAACCGAACATCACAACAACAACGAACGGTAATAATCCGAAGAGTATCTTCTCGCTGAAACTAATGTTTGTTATTTTGCTTCAACTAGTCAGGGTAATGTGATAATGTGATATGCAGGTCATTTCTTTGTGTTTTTGATAACCAATTAAACTTTTATTTTCTTTGGTGGCATTTAGGCTATGTTTGGTAACCAAATAAGTTAGTTTATAACTTATTTGGTTAGCTTATAAGTTTCCCGTTTTCAAATAATATTGGTAGGGCGAAAGCTTGAGTTTATCATAAGCTTCATAAGCTTCGGTGGTTTTTTTCAAATAAGCTCGTTGAAATTTGTATTTCAGCTAGCTTGATAAGCTAATTTTACAAAATACTTATATCATATAAGCTAGTTTTTCAGCTATAAGTCATAAGATATAAGCTATAAACTCAAAAATTACTTATAAGCTATATAGCTAGTTTGTCAACTAATTTTACCAAATATAGCCTTAATTACAGCCTTAATTACGAGATATGAGTACCCAAAATTGAAAAACTTTTTTATTATTCAACATAAAGGGTACTGTTTGCAAAACCTGCTACTCTTTAGAAGGAAAAAAATAAAAGGTTCAATGTCGTGGCCTTCGGGGGTAAAAGCTGAGATTAGTAGGAGCCAAAAGTTTGTAGTCTTTGAATAAAGATTATGAATAGATGGATCTTGATAAAATTATACAATTTTTTGAAGTGAATGCAAGATGAAAGCTAGGGACTTCACCTAATAGTAATTAAGGGTCTATTCATAGTTTTTTATTTTGGTTTTGTTGTTTTCTACTGTTCTTAAACATGCTATTTGCCCCACTAGCGGTTAAATTACAGCACGCCTATATCTTAATCATTTTCAAATCCCACAATAGTAGGTGAAGATTTACTAGTTCAAACTACTAGTCTCAAACTACTACTTCCTTGGCCAAGATTTACTGATGTATTCAAATTTAATTTTGGGTTGTAAACTTGTAATATGAACAGTAACAATTCTTTTAAAAAATGTAAAATCTTTTTTTTTTTCCTTTTGTTTTGCAGTCTGTACGGATGAACTACGGTTGGCGAAGATTAAGGTCAACTCGGAGTTCACGGCCCCTTGCAAGACTTCAATCTTATACCCAACAGAAGGTGGAAACATGCATCGATTTACTGCCAAGTCAGCATGTGCTGTGCTTGATGTGCTCGGCCCTCCATATTGCGATCCTGATGGCCGCCATTGTCAGTATTATTCTGAGTTTCGGTTCTCTAACTTCTCAGGTATCCGAACAAGAACTCATCCGCATGTCTTCAAAATTTTCTGGGTGTTTTATTTGAATTTTTTGGTTTGGTATAGTTAATTTTGAAAAAAGTTGTATGTTTTTGAGTTTATATTAAAATAATATTTAAAATAAAATAATTAAAGTTGATTTGATGTAAAAGTATGAGAGATGTGATGTGAAGTGATGGTTAGTTAAAATTATGTGAGTGAATGAATAGTGAATTAAAATTGATGTAATGTGTACGAATGATTGATTGATAGATATTATTTAATTATATTAATAATATTGAAGATATTGAGGTTGAGTTAAAATTGAGTCGATTTGAGTTAAAAAAAATTGATTGGTTATAAATGATTGATTTTTTATTTTTTTTTTTGAATAATTTGTATCAAGCATGCACAAAATGCTTTTTTTTTTTGTTAAAATTTTTATTTTTGGG